TATATGGCCATGTCACCATGGGCTGGCATTAAATGGGGAAACTACTGGTACTCAAGGAAGGAACATCCTTTTATGAGAATTTACATTACTTAATGGCAAGTTTCCTGACAGTTGCCATACCCCAGAATAAGATTGCATTTGGAATAAGAAATGTTCTTAGGGATATTGCTGCCAGGGACCACTGAGTTGTACACTGTTTTCAAAAAAGGTTCCTCATGGAACTGCACATTCAGATGACAAAAGCTGTTCTCACAGAGAGCCTGAAGCATTTACATCACTCCGCTTGACCCTTTTTTCACTGCTTTTACTTATCTTGCTTCTTGATAATTTAACGCACATTGCTGGAGTCAAGCATCCTGATGATCAGATTTCTTTTGCTGTTGCCTCATTACAGGTATACTGGTAACTCTGCAAGTTAATTTAACAATATCTTGATACCTTGCCTAAGCACTGTCGATCCTTGATGGCTAAACTTAATTGCAGGAGACATCTGACACCATTAGTTTTGAATTGGTGGTTTGAGAATTCACCTACAAACACAATTCTGATTGCCACAGGAATTGGTCCATCATGTTGCAGCACCTCTTTGCCACATAAACAAAAATGTAACTGATCTGTGCAGTAGATGGAATTTCTTAAAGCAAAAACTCCAGGTAGGACCTTAGTTGCTGGATCATAGCCTGCTCCCAATTTCTCTTCCCATTGAAGGGCAGAGGCAGTGGCGTATTCCCTCAAATTACATTGCGGGGGTGGAGTGAAGCTCTTTCCCACATTTACTTACCAGCAAACATGGGTTGTAAATAATGTCCCCCTGACTTTGCTGAGAATAACTTGTTCTTTAGAACATGCCAAGAGCATGGTGGGTGTACATTATGTGTGGAGGGCTTCAGCCTTCTTTCCCCAGTTTAGAGGTGTATTGGAGGTCTGGAGGCATCACAGGACACAGAGAGGCAAGCCCTGAGCACATAGCTATTGGACTCCTTTGGCTGTGGGCATCCAGCAGAGACTGTGAGCCACATCCCTGCCTCTCACAAACAGCTGCCAACTTCTTCATGAAGTGACAGACACACATTGCTGTGGTCCTTCTGGGCTTGTACTGCTTAGGTAAAGCCCCATTCTTCAGCTTTGCAGACAATAAACACTAACATATTACGTAGTCAGTGTCTAAACAACCAGCAGTTCTGGACATTGCTCCACTTAGAAGAATTTTACCATGTTCTGTGCTTACTGTTTTGACTTTGTTGTATCTATTCAGGCTTAGGTTGTAAACTTTTTCAAGGTAAATGACCCATTATTTTGCAACACTTCACTGCTGTATAGACTAGCAGCACCATGTGGTTGTACTTCTTCTGGGATTTATACTTGGAAACATTATTTTATGTAAAAATTTGTCTTAGATGGCCATTTTGTCTCTGCTCCCCCTGTGGACATCACTTCCAGACTTACACTGCCATCTTCAGATTTCAGCCAACTTTTGAATTATTTTTTAAATTTCTGTTTCAGTAGATTTCTGAGTGTACCCAGTTCTCCAGTTGTACCAGCCTTTATACTGGGGAATTCATAATCATAATCTTCTACTCTGTTAAAAACATTGCATTGTCTCAGGCTTTACTTTAAAGTCATGCAACTGTCTAAAATACTTTTTATTATTTTGAAATCTTTCAAGGATTTCAGTTGAAAATATTTGACAGACATCTCCTGCAACATTTATTTCCACAGGATAAAACAATTAATTAAGCCTAAACGCCTAAGTGTAGAACAGCAGTAAAAGGAAGTGTGAACTCCTGGCTTAAGACTCAGAGCTCCACATGCCTTTCCTAATTAGTCTGTCATGAAAAAATAAGGGTCCTTTAAAGGAACAGCAAAAATACTGGAACAACAGAGGATGTATGGAGTGTTTTGACAGAGTAACTTGCATGCAGCACTAGATCATTAAGTTCAGCAAAATGATGAAGGAAAGGTTAGTTATAATCCATAGCCTGGAGTGAAGTCACCCAGCTAAACTGACTTCGTGACAAGAAAAAAACCCAGACTGATGAGAAACTGTCCTCTGATAAGGTCAGCATTCTTTTGCCTAAACAGGTCTTTAAGGAATGTGAAAGAAAAAAATGTGTTAGCATGACTTGCTCAGACATACAGTATGTGGCCATCAGCACTATGAAACATTTTGTGGGTAATAAAATGATTAACTGACCATTCAAATTCTAGAAATGTTGCATTTGTAGCAGCAATCAGCTCCACAGAGAGGAGGCAACAGAGTGTGAAACCTGAATTCAAGCAACAGAGAGGCTGAAAGAATAATTAAAACCAGAAATAACTTGGAGTTTCCAGAAATCATACTCAAAGTTTGCAATACAGCAATAATATCTGTATTTATGTAGACATGTGTGCATGGACGTGTGTGTAATGACAGTGGCATAGTTTCCAAAAAGAAAGATGGTTGCCAAATATTGTTCTTCAGCTATCATAATTTTCCAGAATGAACTGTTTTTAAATATTCTCTAAGGACTTCTGATCATAAATATTTCTAAAGAGCATGCACTTAACTCATGCCAATCAATATCATAAAGAAACCCTACAGCTAAATTAGCAAAGCAGAGAACTCGTACTTATTGACTAAACCCTGATGTTACTTGTACCTAAGACTCCAGGTCTGCAGCTTATATGGTAATAGTATTTCTGTTTTCAAAAGGAGTGCATCCTAATCTTATATTTTTATATAGAAGATTAAATACTCCATAGCATATTTGCCGATTGAGAAAACTCATTTACCTTGAGGAAAAAGGCATCCTCTTACAAATTTTCTTTAACTTTACAGGATACTGCATTTCTGAGTACCAGGATTTCTCCTGGACATCTCAAAGGACTACAAAGAAGACCTACTTTTTTTTCTCAAGGGACCCAAGTTACTGTATTTGGACTTTTAAGTCAGTCCTAGTATACGGATGTGGACTTCAGGTAGAATGAGCAATGCAAAGAACTTGTTTGGACTTGGTGTCTCCTTGTATTTTTGGGGACTGATGGACCTTACTACAACTGTGCTGTCAGGAAGTGCCAGGCCCCTCCCTGAAGGGCAAGAAGACAACCTGTCAGACAAGCTGCACCAGCGTATGAAGAGGAGCTGGGTGTGGAACCAGTTTTTTGTTCTGGAGGAATACACAGGAACTGACCCTCTCTACGTTGGGAAGGTAAGACCCATAGCGGGAAGATATCTGTAAGGGCATCCATCCAGGATACAATCCTGTGTATCTGCAGATTGTGGTGAAACATGGGATGTTCCCTCAAGTGCCTTTACCTTCTTTCTGGCAGTGACTTCATCCACATTAATTTCACTTCTGCTCCCAAGAGCTTTTGCCCCATGTCACCTTTGTTTGGGAAGAATTTCTATTTCAAGGGGCTGTCAATATATTTGCCTATTTCAAAGAGATCTGCTGCATCAATCATCATCTGCAATTTGAGGTAGTGTTAGAAAATCTGCAGCAATCTTTCCAGGGACTCCTACAATGTCAAGGCAAAGCAAGGTTATATTGACATCTAAGGATTAGGAAAGAAAGGAAGAGTTTGTGATCATGCTTCTGTCCATGATCAAGTCAGCTAGAATCTGTAATTCAAAATCAAATTAAATAGCCAGTTTCCCTTGAAAACTGACATTTCAGTTTTTGTTTTCTGCAAATCTTCAGGGTCAGAGTATCTTCCGGCTTACCATATCTTGACTGCAAGTTAGTTTTGTGTACTACAAAGAAGTTGCTCCAGATCTAGAAGGGTGGATGGACACCCCATTAAATCCAATTATGAAGGGTCCTACTTTTTGGATCCCTTATACCCCAAAAACCTACCCATCAGTACAGATATGTGTAAAATGTATTCCTGAGCTCATCCTATACCTATATTTGGCTATATTTTGCATTTACTATTCTGTGTCTCCTTGAAGAAGCTGTTGGAAATTGGACCAGTGACTACTGCTGTCACAACCTGTCTCACTATAACCATTCTCCCTTACTGTTTTTAAAGACCCTGAATCGCTGACCCTGTATTGACCCTGTTATTCAAAGTTTTATGGTCAGCATCAAGTTTGCTTCTATTCTACACCAAGGTGAAAAATCTGGACAAAAATGTGGAGAAAGCTAATGTGCTTAAGTGTTTGAACAATACAATCAAGATTTTACATGCCTAGAATATCAGATACAGCTATGACAAGTGGAAACTACACATAGGTATATGTGAAAAATAACTTAGAAAGGATGTCAAAATAATTCCTTCACATTTCACTGGGTTTTTTTTAATATGATATAGGCTCAATTTTTCCTTCCAAGCGATCCATCTGCAGGGGAAAAAAAAAAATATTACATATCCAGAGACCCAGTTTGGACTCATATTTATCATTCATAGTATCCCCATAGAGCTAAACTGTGCTCTCAGTCACAGCAGTATAAATCAAAATGAATCCACGGCTTCAGAAGACCTCCTCCTGATTTATGCCTGTGTGACTGACAGCAAGATGTGCCCTCCTTCCTCCCACAGCAATGGCATTACTAGTGATTGCCTCCAGATGAGACCTCATTAGTTTTCATTCATCTGTGCACCTAGCTTTTCAGCTCCTGGTATCTCTATTGATTAAAGAAATTAATATTTGTTTTCAGGCAACTCCCGCCTTCGGAACAAGGGCCAGGCTTATTATTTCACACTCTCAGTTACATCTAAAGTGACTTCAGGCTTCCACTTGTGAGCCGAATCTTAGGTCAAGCAAGCATGGGGAGAAAGCAGCTCATCTTTTAGAGCTGGTGGTGCCATTAGGAGCACACGCACTTGGCACACACATTCAGCAGCACTCCTGAGCTCGCTGCCGCTCAGCTTTGCCCAAGGGAAGGACACCAAGACGGCTCCTCATGGCCTGTGCCCGCCGCTCGGAGGCCCCGGCCGCCGTCCCGGAGCTTCTCCAGGGCTGCCTGGGCGCCGGCTGCGCTCGCACCGGCGTGCACGCGGCTAGTTAGCTCCCACGGTTAACAGGGCCAATTAGTCCCAGCACGGCTGGGCTGACTCGGCTGCACCCCTCGGAAGGTCTCCTCTCTCGGCAGTGCTCCGTGTAGTCCCGGCTCCGGGGAGCCCTGCTGCCAAAAGGGCCTCTGGGGCTCACACGTTCCATCCGTGCCCGACCCGGGTGCGGGGCCGCCGGCCGAGCGCTGGGGTGAGGGCGGCGAGGCCTGTGAGGCAAAGGCTTCCCCTCGCCTCACCCAGCCAGAGGCACAGCCGCTCCAAGGGGCAGCAGCCTCCCACAACTCATTGCCCGCCTGCATTTGTGCTGCCCGAGTCTTAGGGATCCTTAGGAAAGGGGGCAGCAGGGAATAGACTGTGGGGTGAATTAATTGTTCTGGCAGGCCAGAAATTTTTCAGCCCGAGTCACCCCAGGCTGACTCAAAAATAGCTCTGTAAAGGCTTGCACAGAGTGGGGTGGAGGTGCAACAGGGCTTTCATTCTGCTGCTGGCTGCTCACACCAGCCCTCCAGCCTGGGTCCCATACCAGGCCCGGCAGGGCCCCTTCTGATACCACCCACAACATCCTGAAACATCTCATAGCCAGGCCTTGCTTTTATCCATCTGCTCTCTCCAAACCCCTGTCGAAAGAATGCACAGCACAGAGCCAGTTGTACTCCTGGTTCTGGCTGGTTCTGTATGACTGGAGCAACCAAAAAAGCACCTTGAGTTGAACCGTAGGTCCAGGTTTGCCTAATGCGATTTCCGAAGCTGCTATGGTTCTGTGAAGTTTCCTGGACAGCTGTTAAGGCAAGGTGCAAAATATGTTCTGGACAGGAAAATAAAAGAAACTCCTGATGTGAAGTCAGTACAATTTTTGCTTTTCTCCAGTGCTATGATAGTGATTTAAAGTACTTCAGCTTCAGAGGGTTCCTGGTCCTGTCACAGATAAATACAAGGCTTCAGTTTTCCTAGAGGTGGCCATTATTGGCTAATAGGATGAACCAGGGAAACCAAAGCCCCTTCATTTGCTACAGCAGGTATTTTCCACATTCAATGTGCAGCCTACACTGTGTCAGTAATTGAACTGGGGACACACTTCACCATTTTGCCATGTTGGAGACTCCCTAACCCTGTTTCAAAGAAGCATTTGAATCACAGCAGCTGAATAAATGAATAAAATGTAACCTCTCCACAGACTATCAATTTACATCAACCACACTCACTCATGCATCCTTACAAAAATCCCCTGCAGGTGCTACCTCCGTGGAAGGAGAGAAGGGAGAAACACATCAAGGATGCAGTCACAGACTGGTTAGCAGAGCTGTGTGGGTTCTCCCCTGAGCTGCTGACTGCAGCCCTACTCTCTTCTACCTGCCCTTTGTCAGGAAATGTGTCATTCCAATGCAGATGTAACATCCTTAATTTTTTGTACTATTCTCATCAAAAGAAGCAATGCGGGTTGACACAGTTAAAAATTTCTCAGGACTTATCAGCTTTATTCCTCCAATAATCCATTCTTTAATACAGAGGAGAAAGTACAAATTTATTCCTCCTACTCTGTATCAACCACATGGCAGCACAATTTATTGTACCACCCATAAGAGAGAGCCAACTTAAAACTAGATCACATTCCCAACACAGTGACTTTTATACTCCAAACAGCATCCTGATATTAGGTTTGGTGTGAGCTTCAGCCCCTTCAGACACCAAATTCTTTCAGATTTATGCAGTCTGGCAGTGTTATGTCTTTTATACTCTTTTTTTGCTTTGTCTAGAAAGAGCAGGTTATACAAGAAGCTGCAAAAGTGCTGCTAGTATTTCTTACTGCCTAGCCTTGGTTGAGACCCAATGTTTCTAACAAATCACAGTTAGACAGAGATCCTCTTGTACTCCCAAATTCTTAATAGCATGCCGTGTTCATTCCTTGCTTGCTTCCTTCACAACTGCATTTATTCCAAATAGGGCTTTGGAGAGAAGGTGTAATTTAACCCATGAGTTTGATTCATTTTTTGCTTCTAAGTATTCTGAAAATTCCTGAACGCCTACTTCTATTTAAAAAAAAAAAATGCTTCTTTTTTTCTTTCTCTTTTCCTTCTTCTTTTTCTCCTTCTTCTTCTTCTTCATTTTCTTTTCCTGTTCCTTTTCCCTTTTTTTAAATTTTTTCCTTGTTTTTAATTTCTTTTTCATTTTTCTCTTTCTTTTATTTTTAATTTTTGCCTTTTGACCTTGAATTTGACTTTGACTTCCTCTTTCTCCTTTATTTTTTTCTTTTCCTTATTTAATGAGGACTTGTTGGTGTTCCAAAACACATTTTCTTCCATCAGGCCTAGCTCTAATTCCCCAGTCAGGTCTAACATGTGTATCTGTCTCAGCTGCTGCATTCTTTCACTGGTGCACTAATGCACTAAAACAAATGCCCAAGATGTAGCTTAGTGGTTCTGAATCAATTTGAAAAGCTATAATAGTGTCCTCCTTCTGGAAGAATCCTGTTTACTAGCTCCTACAGTGATAATCTCTGAGTTATGGGTGTTTAGGATAAGTAATGACAACTACTGTCTTTTTTTAAATTAATCACAAGATGGTGATTTCCTGAAGATATGCCAGTTTGCAGTCCTGGTGCCTGCATGTGAATTAATACACATGACAGCCATCTAAATTTGACTGTTTACCACTGCCAAATTTTTCTGGGCTTGTTCTTCCACTGTTCAGTTAATACCTCACCTGAGAGCAGCCAGCTTTTATCCAAAATACTGCTGTTTCTCAGATGCAGTGCCACTGCAGGGATGGAGGCAGAGGAGGAGGAAGTGGCCTGACACAGCCATTGTCACAACCTGCACCTTTAGCTCCTGCAGCCACACTGTAGTGCTGCTGCCCTTAACACTCGCTGCCTAGCAGTCACTTGGAGTCCATGGGCCACCTCCATACAGACCTGTCTGCAGGCTGGGATATGCCATGGAAAACCACAGGATCCCACTTCAGCTGAAAGCACTCTTTGCCCTAAAATCAGAAGTGGGTCCAAGTTTTGCATAGCTCATGTGACCTACCTGAGAGGCAAGTAAGGGGGACACCCTTCAAAGAATGAGCATCTCCTGACCAGACCCTTCACTGGGGGAAAAGGTCTTTCCGCTCCCCAGTCAACAGGATTGTGTGTCCTAAAACAGCTGAGGACCTGCTTCACTGGCCCTAGAAATTCTATGGCAAGATAAGTCATTCTGTCCACATTCCTATTAAACCTTTTCCTATGTAATAAGTTATTGTATATGTTTTTTATGTTTTTAAACAGCTCAGAGATGAGATTTCTTCTTTCTTGAGAGAACAGTCTGTAATCAATTGTACAAAGTGTGACTTCTACTTTTTGACAGAAATTATCCATTTCTGTTTGGATTCTTTCTCCAAATCCTGTGTTCATATATTCAGTTTATTATTCTAAGATTTTTCTCTCCAGTACAAATATTTACCTAAGTTTGGCCCCATTCTCCAAGATTGATCTTTTAGCTTATCAAAGCATTAAACACACCTACTTCTGACCATATTTCTGAGATGGTTTGTTCATGTATGCATTTTAAAATGTGCTTAATTGAATCCAGCCCACTTTCACTATTTTTATTTTAAGTATTATTTATCCTTTGTTCATCTCCCACAATGATAATAACACGGGAAAACAGTATTCACATCTGAACCATTTTGATTATTGCACCTCAAATCTATTGCTTTCCTGTCTTTCAGTTCTGAAGGATTGCTGCCACTGGGCATTGGTCTTTATTCCTCAAAAGCATGGAAGTATGAGCATACCATTGTGGATTTTCATAGCATGAGTGAAATTAAGCAATTTGATTGCTTTTGATAGTCATTCCAGTATTTCATGGGAACCAGGTGTTTAACAGAATGTTGTCCCCAGAATGATGTGTTTCCCTGTTTTAGATTATAATTAAGTAAACTGTGTTTACTCTTGCTCTGTTCTGTTGCATTCGCAGCTATCTGTGGCTGCTCAGAGCTAATTAGCAGTCATGCAATAAATCTGTTAGCTAATTTCCTAGGAAATCTGGGATGGTTCTCATTTCTATAGCCTGCCATGGGCATAAGCAACTGTTTCTTGCTGCTTTCCTTACCTACTGTTTGACAATATTCCTTCCTAAAAAATGTAGGGATCCAGACTAATTTTATTACTAAAATTTAATGGAAAAAAAATTTAAATATTTCTGAATCATACATAACACTTACTAAGTAACTCTCCCATTCTGCTTTCCCCTTGATCCCAAATAGATTTGCCTTATTTTCCCCAACATTATGCTACCCCTAGTAGTATTTGACTCCTTTTAAGCCATGTGAACAAGCATAGTCTGCAGCTTTGCTGACCTCACTTTATCCCAAATCTTCTCAATGGCCATTGCAACAAGGCAAAAGATGATTATTATGTTGAGTGAGATTCCAAAAAGGCACAGAGCCTGTTCCTGTTTGGGTGCCTCTGCCTTTTCTCTTGGCACAGCTGTGGGTGCAGAAACAAGAAGACAGGAGAGGGTTTTTAATTGCATCTATGCAATACAGACTTTACTATTTGCCTTTTTGAGCAGAGTGAGTTCATTAAAACCAGCTTGTGAGTCCCAACAGTGAGACCAGAATGCTCAAGATGATCACGTGCTTAAGTGTTTCTCAGCAGCTGCTTTCCCAGCTCATGGTCTAATTGAATCATGTTCCTTTCCACAGCTCCACTCTGACATGGACAGGGGAGATGGTTCGATCAAATACATCCTCTCAGGAGAGGGAGCTGGTATTGTGTTCACCATTGATGATACAACAGGGGACATTCATGCCATTCAGCGGCTGGACCGGGAAGAAAGGTCACAGTACACCCTCAGAGCGCAGGCTCTGGACAGGCGGACGGGCCGGCCGATGGAACCTGAGTCAGAGTTTATCATCAAAATCCAAGACATCAACGACAATGAACCCAAGTTCCTGGATGGACCTTACGTAGCCTCTGTTCCAGAAATGTCACCTGTGGGTAAGACAGATTTTGTGGAGTCTCTTTCCCTTTTAAGCAAATTTGAGATGGTCACCAAAACACAAATTCCCTGACTCCTTGACCTCAGCTTCTGCTCCTTGCACAGGAGTTGCAGGACAGAGGAGTTTATCCTGGGGTGCCTGCTTGCTGTAGAAAAGAGACTACAGGCTTTACACTAGCATCAGCTCCTCTGAAAGAAAACATGCCAAGGGAAGCCTGAGCTGAAAAAAGGCGTGATTCAAGCATGCCACGTTTAGACAATGTGTAGTAACATAGTGCCCTTTCTCCTCTGACATCAGGTGGTAGAAATAATAATGTCCATTAGACAGCCATTACCATCCCAAAAATAACACAGCCTTAGCAACCTAATCAAGTTCATACTAAGAGCTCAACTACTGTCCAGGAGCCCTTGAAAACATGGAGACATGAAAACAATCATTAGCTCCTTCTAATTCATGTAAGCCTGCACTAAACAAAGTTCAGTGAATCCTGAGATTCTGGTACTATTTGCCCTCTGCTTTTACAGAATGGGATCATGTTGAAGACACTCCTGTTATTGCAATGCAGAAGAAAAACAGCAGCTTTCCTATCTTCATATCCTGACACAAGTCAGGAGAAATTATTTCCATATAAGAAATCAAATAATCACATAAAATATTGTTTTTCTGGACTTTTTTTCCTTTCTTTTTGAGTTGTTTTTATTTGCTTATTGCTTTTTGGCTCTGTGACATCACTGCAGAGATAATAATACCCTATAAATTTCATGTCCTGAAGTTACCGATAAGCTTCATCTTCTCATTCTTCAATGTTATGCTGACATAAAGCTAGAGAGAGGCATCAAATACAGAAGTTCCAGTCAGAAATAATGTTTCTTAATGGTAATGGCTAGCTTAAATTCAGTTTTCTCTTCAAGTGCTTATCTAGTAACATCAGATTTGTTTGTAACACAAAACATTACATATAAGGCTAGATATATTCAAAAAGGCATTGTCTGACATTTTAAGGAGTCAAAACCCAAATATATTTCAGTTGTGCCTCACCTTCTCCTTGTTCTTGATAAATTACATCACCTGCAAGCCATACTAGCTTCAGAGGAAGCAGACCTTGAAAACCAATTGAAAAAAGAAATATATTTGCCTCTGTGTGGGTTGCAAAGGCACTTCAGTGCATAAGCAGTGTATAATCTCTAGGCTATGCAATGTAAACTGCAGTCCCACAGAGAGATTATCTCAGAGATACATCCCTTCATGCTCACTGCTTTTGTACGATTTCCATCCCTCAGTCAACTTACAGCATCTGTGGGCCTGCTACAACAGTTCATGATTTATGTCAGCAGAGCTATGGAACTTTTTTGAGCTGCATCCTAATAACATTTAAAATCAAGACAAGGGGAAAAGAAGCAAGCAGTATATAATTACCATCTCTCTGTCAACCATAACAAAATACTGTTAGTTCAGCAATTCTGTAACTGTGGTCCATAGAGTATTTGCTCTTTTATATCTTCTTATAGTAGCATGGTGATATAATACCTATTAATTCCTTTAGTGCTAATGAGCTACACGTATGAACAATAAGCACAAGCAGCACGAGCATCAAATGAAAAAGTTCAGTGTGGGAAAGCTCTTGTTAGGCATTTCAATTTACTTTGAACTGTGTACTTTTCCTGCCAGCTCTTTATCCCACAAGGTCTTACCTTGATGGTTTCTTTGTCAGGCACCTCTGTTATCCAGGTGACAGCAACAGATGCTGATGACCCAACCTATGGGAACAGCGCGAGAGTCGTATACAGTATTCTCCAAGGACAACCATATTTCTCTGTGGACTCTCGGACAGGTATGTTATTTCATCAGGGAATGAGTCAGCGTGAAAACCAAAAGAAAAAGTTGCAAGCAGAAAGAAAGGGCAGTGCATCATAGTTGTGGTCAGAGAAATGTCTTTTTGTGGCTTGGAGCCAAGACAGAGCAGCACTGTGCGAGGGGTAAAGTAATGCTGTGGCAGTGAGCTCCAGAAGAAGAACGTGCTTTTTCCAGTGATATACACCTCTGCATGACCATATTCTGCAACTCAGGATCTGGATGGGTTTGGTGCTGTAAATACTCTTCCTGGCTTCTATCACTGAAAAATGTCTTTAAAAGATCTAGTTGATAACAAGGCTTAGGGGCAAAAAACATATCTATCAACCAGCCAGGACTGGAAAGTGCAAACTAAAGGATGCAGTTATCTGGAGTAGTTCTACCTAAGGGTGCTCTTGTTAATAACCTTACACTTATCCATGGGACACCCTCTCTGTTTCGCTTGCTTTCTCTCTCTCTTTTCTCTATACACCCAAGGTTTATATTCAGAAGTGGAATCTGACAGATTTTGACAGTTTCTAAAGGGCTTCTATAGTGCTAAGGTCAGAAACTCATGAGACAATAGTCACTGCAGAGCCCTAGGGGACAACATAGGAAAAACACTGAATAAACTTCTTCCAAAATAAGCAGTTTATGGAGTAGGTGTTCTAGCCAAAGACAAACTTGGATGTGGCATGTTATTTCTCAGCTTTGTTTATATTTACAATACAAATAAACTACTAATTCTCCTTTTGTAACCAACCACAGACAAATAAGGGTGTAACCATAGATTTGCTTTAATTTGATTTAATCAAATTATTTCTGAGAAAGTAAAGGATCAATATTCAGGGTCAGATCCAGTACAGATTTAACCACAAGAATGCAGCTTATACAGAAGATAGGCCCTTAAGTCCAAAATCATGTACTTTATGGGTATTTAACCCAGAAAAGGGCTTTTTCTCCTCTGATTAGCTTCCCAGTCACTTGCACCTGCATCTCTGGACAGGCTCAGAGGTGCCTCAGCCTTTAGCTGCCTCAGCCAGCAATTGGACTCCCATTTAGGGTAAGCACTGTTGTGAGCCAGAGGCCATTTCCCTCTCACAAGCACAGCACTGTAATCAGCTTTCCCTCTGCAAACTCACCTGTGGGATTTGGTAGCTCACAAAATACAATTGCAGCTCTAACATTCTTCTAGAATGTTATGCTAGAGCATAAGTGACCAACAGCTCCTTTGTATTGATAGATAGTGGCTAAAACACCCAATAGTGAACAAAATTTCCTCCTCTAGTAGCATTTGGAGTACTTACCATTTACCTTCCAAAACACTCTTGGTTCCAGAGGTGTGCTCCTATTCCTATTCTGTCACTGTCCTCACAGGTGCTGAACAAGTGTCTATGTGAAAACACAACTTCAAAGGAAAGTTGAAAGCCCCCTCCTCCCTTTTTCCAAAATACTTTTACATCCTGACCACAATCATATTCCCCTAGAAGATGAAAGAAGTCTCCCACTTCCTAAGAAACCATCTGGCTGTTATAGAAAAGAAAGGACATGACCTCTGCTCTTTACTGTTTTCTTAAAAGCAGAAACCTCATTCAGTTTAGTGAAAGAAATGGTTCCAGTACATTTCTTTGGAAGACCTGAAGGTCTTAACCTTTCCCATAGCCTTTCCCATAGCCCTAAGGACGGGTTTTATGTTCAACCACCATCCTTAGCATTTCTTTTCTTTTCTGACTGTGTGCTGCAGCATCGGATGCTCCCTGCTCTGCATTGCTGCACCTCTGGGTACCTGATCAGGCTCTGAGTCTCAGTGTCCTGGACTAGCCCTCCCCTAGGAACCGGAGGCCCCAAGGATAGGCATGGCAGAGCCTGGGGTTTAGGCACTGATGTCTTTTTTTAGGTCAAGCCAAGAGTGGAAATTCCCTACAAAGTGTTTATATACGGAGAAAATACTTCCCAAAATGCCAAGTATTTTCTTATCTTATTTATATATCCATGGGAGCTGAGGAACTACAGCACATTAAAGGAGGCACTCAGCTTTGTAGGATGGGACTCAAAGACTCCACGCAGGAAGATTAAAATAGCGCACTGCAAGTTGTTCCGTACGGGTCGCTATTTCTTCCCTTCACACACAGTGATAATTGCCAACGCAGTATCTCTTTTACTGCTTTTTATTAAACGCATACATTGTCTTTCTGCTAAAAATGAAGACTAAATGCAGATCAATCAAGTTAATAGTGTCCTGATGTGCAAGTGCTGCGTGTTGAGCCGTGCGACTGGGATGGTGCCTGAGACTGACACACTTGCCCCCACCCCGAAGGGCATCCTAAACGTGTGGCTAGCAAGGGATTATCTCCGGGCTACACTGCCGGCTGCTCGATGGGGTACCCTGGAGGCGCTGGAGGCGTGAGAGCTGGGTGGGGCTGGG